CTCCCGTAAAGATTTACAGCCTCGGAAACCCTGTACAGGGTCACTATGGGTCGGAACCGACTCCATGGCACATAACAACAATCATCTTTGACAATATTGACCAACGAGGCTTACAAAACACAAAACCATCTGCTGAATTTAAGAATAAATTAACCTCAGGAGATTTTTAGTGTTTGTTTTTTTTTTTTCTTTTAAATTGTACTGCATCTAACCCTGTGAAAAACAATAAACCAATCTTTGTTAATTCCTGGCTAATTAGAACATTTATATGAATGTCCCATTTCCTATAGGTCTGGAGAACCGAGACTTGCTAGCTCTACAAATATCTGAAACTTGCCTGCTCCCTCCCTGAGCCACTTTTCTTATATGCTTCTCTTGATTGGAAAAGGGAGGTTTCTAAGAAATCTACCATGCTCAAAATATGGATGGATCTTAAAGATAGGAGTCCTATCTTTAAGTGTATAACTAAATGTGAGGCATGGTGGACAGATTTCTAATTACGAAACATCAACGCTAATAAGTGAGAAAAATCATAAAAGATGGTTGCATGCAGGTCTCATAGTGAAAAACTAGAACCCAGTGTTATACATAATAGTTTGGATCAAAAAGAAGCGATAATAATAACCAAATGAAAATAAATCAACATTAAGGAAAAAATGTGACATGTTGAAGAGAAATTCTAAGTTAAATGTAATTTATTTGGGTTTTATAAAAGCATTTTCTTATTTATGAATCCTTTCAGGCTTAGATTTGGCATACTAAGGAAATTCCAGAAACACAAGCAATGTAGAATCACTTAACACAGTTCTAACTAAAACATCTGAAATCTAATTTCATTGCAAGTATGCATTTAAGAGCACAACTGTGTTTCTAAAACAACAAAAGTACCTATTCCCTGCTCAACAAATTTTAGAAATAAATGAAATGAGATCTGTTAATCTGCTTGTAATGCCTTATTTTATTCAAGAACTTTAAATTACTTAATGAAAAACTGAAATTACTTCCAAATAAAGATTTCCATGTCTAACTAATTTATCATCTAGGATTGGCCTGGATATCCTTCAATCTCTTAGATAACCTTAAAGAAAATGAGCTTCATCCAAGTTAATAACATCCAAGCACCTTACGTTAATAATAAAAAAAATCAATTATTAAGACTATTATAAAACACAGTGTTGTACACAATACCTTGGTCGGTGCCGAGTATATCTGTAGAGGTATTGCAAAAATGGCACCTATGTTTGTAGTGAAAAATACATGGGTGAATATATTTACGGCAATGTCTTTAACAGCAAGTTTCAAAGACAATATATTCCAACAGCCTGGAGGTAGAAATAAAGGGCCAGTGAAATTCAGAATCTAAAAAGAAAAGAAGCAAGAGAGGTTACTTTTCCTAATAGTGATTACTGATTACATTCATTTTCAAGGAGGACGTTCAAGTTCTCCTTTACTTTAGCAATTACAAGTTTACTCAATTATTCCCAGATCAAAGCTAGAGGTATTTTCATATAAATAACTGGTTCAAAGAATGTTTAGTATGCTACTGTTTTCAAGTTTCACAAAAATTATCTTGAAATTTTTATAGTGGTATTTTGTAAAATCTTACTATTTTATTATGACCTAGGTTTATTTTTCTAAATAGAAGACTCTCAGTAGGATTTACAGATTAAAATGGATTTGGAATAACAGTAAGAGAAAATATTCATAGAGAAATCTCTGAGAAGGCTTCTAACGTTTGTGGAAAAATTTCGTGACCTTTTTGTTCTTTTTTTTTTCCACAAACTTTTTTTTTGAAGCCCCCTCTTATAATCTGGTCTCTTTGAGACCCTTAACAATATGTTAAAAATGCAAGAGGAAGATCCTCAAAGTAGTTCTGAATGTGTCCAAAGAAAAGTATTTCATTTAAAATCATCATAGATCAAAAATTAAAATGTATTACTACTACTAATTCCATAGCATGTGATCTTCTGGAAAGTTTAAAATAGGATAAAAAGAGAAAATAAAATTAGAGTAAAATACCACATGTACCTTTAAAAGGTGTTTGGTCTCCTTGGAAACAAACACACCATTTAACACAATACTATGGTCAAAATGATTGAGAAACCACATTGACCAGACGCCTGATGTGTTCTCATGAGTCTCTATGTGAAACTGAGCTGCGGCAGAGTCCATTCTAAAATACCTGTGAACCAAAGACAAGCCTGCAGTCAGTCTGGGGAGGAAGACAACAAGTGTGACACTCTTGTCAGAGACAGGTGTTCCTAATTCTGACTCCTGGGGACCCCAGGTCTGTCTTCAGAGGCATCTCTGAGTTGGCTTGAACTGTCAACCTTTGAATTAGTAATAGAGAGGTTAGCTGTGTGTGCCACAAATGAATGCTATCAGCACTCTAATGAGCCTTTAACTGTGAAGAGAAGATAATGTAATAGAATGTTAGTACTGAGAACAGCCTTAGAGATAGTATTCTTAATCATGCAACAAGCAAGCGAAGGTCAGAAATGAAGCAACTTGCAAGGTCAGGTAAGCACTTGGGGGCCACTAGGGATAAACGAGGGCCAGAAGGCAACTCAGACACACCAGATGAACACCTTCTCTGGCACACTGCACCTGGTTGCCTCTCCGGGCTGGCCACCAAAACTTAATCCAGGAGCTACGGAATTATTCCACTTCTTTTTCAATATTCTGCTAATAGCTCCTTCACTGCTTGTTAGCAATGCTGCTCGTTAGGAGGTGAGTCCAGAGACAAAGAGAATCATACAAGTGACATCAGTTAGATTTTAAATCATCTCTAGAGAACAAAATCACATAGAATGCAGAATTACCTACCCTTGAACCACAGGTGAGGACAGGCATGTTTTTAGCATTGGAGTGTGTTTTGTTTTCTTTACATCTTCTAGATAATTAATTTCACTGTCACATGATGTAGCTGCTTTGAGATATAAAGAGATAGATGTGAAGCATGAACCTAACCACGTTTTCTTTTATTAAGCCTGAACAAAACAAGACACATGCTTCTTAACTTTATCATTACTTCTGTTTCCATGAAAATAATGAATTAGATTTGTTGTTATTAAGTACCATCCAGTCAGTTCTGACTCACAGAACCTGAGAGGGTTTCCAAAGGGCAGCTGGTAGGTTTGAACTGCCAACCTTGTGGTTAGCAGTCCAGTGCTAATACTACAGTGCCAAATTATCTTTAAAAAACTTTTTAAAAATTCTCATTTCTTAGTTGAAAACAGTTAACAGTCAACACTGAGTCTTTTTCATTATAAAGTTCTGTTAGCGTAGTGGTTTATGAGTTGGGCTGCTAACTTCAAGGTCAGAAGTTTGAAACTACTAGCCATTCTGGGGGAGAAAAATGAGGTTTTCTGTTCCTGTAAACATTTACAACCTCAAAAACCCTGAAAAGAGTCACTATGAGTTGGAACCAACTCCACGGCATACCACCACCACCACCATCATCACCATTAATAAGAAGAAAGTCTGCAGGTCTGTCAGAGATGACGCAGTGAGAAGTGACGCTCAAGTGGATGAACCAGAAAGGAGCATGTGGAGGCATGAGTAAGAGAAGAATGAAACCTAAATAGTAAAAAGTAGGAATGCTTTGCTGGTATATCAAGACAACACTCCAAAACAGGAAAAAAGACAACACTCCAAAGCTTTCCAAGAGCTTGATCATAATACAAAGCTTAACTCTGATCCTAACACTCAACTAAGTTTTTAAATTTCTACATATGATTCAAAACACAACAAACAAAAAACCTGCTGAAACACTAATATAAGATATGTAAAAATACAGTCTACTTCTTACCTCTGACTTCCAAAACTCTCAATTGCGTTTCTTTTTTAACTTTTTATTGTGAATTGAGTGATGGTTTACAGACCATATTACCAGTTTTGCATTCAACAACTCATATACGTTTTGTTCCCTGTCACTGATTAGAATCCAATTAGTGTAACATCACTTATCCTACTTACTCCCTGTTTCCATTCTTCCTTCTTTGCTAACCGCTCAAAGATTTGTTGTTGGGTAAATGTTGCTCTTTTGATCTCAAATGGCTGATTCTTCTAAGATGTACATACTTCACATTGTTAGTGTTACTGTTCTCCCTTTCCATTGTTAGGTGAAAATTGAACCATGAAGGTGAGTTCAGGTCCAGACCTGGAGGAAGACTAAGGGCCACCGTCTTGGAGGTTCTACCAGTCTCTACCCAACCAGTAAGTCTGCTCTTTATGATTTTGAGTTTTGTTTCACATTTTCTCCTACTCTATCCAGCACCTTCTAATGTGATTCCTTTCTGAGCAGTTGGTAATGATAGACAGATACTATCTATTTCTTCTGGTCTGATATTTTCATGTGTCTTCAATGTTCATCACTATTCTTTTCCCCAGACAGGGACAGACCAATAGCTGAACCTTACACATGGCTGATCAAGAGCTTTTACGACCCCAGTCTCTACTCACCAATATAGAATGCAGTCTTTGTAGACTGTTAGGCCAATTGATCTAGGTATCCTTGGAGTCTATGACCGTAAGCCTCCAGACCCAGTTTCTCATTCCCTCAAGGTGTTTGGTTACATGTAAAAAATGTTTACCACTCTGCTCCTATTATACACCACCACATTCATGGATATATTAGGAGCAAAGATAGACACCCATGTACAAATATTAAATCAATATATACTTGTGGCATATACTCCAATTTTTCCTTCTACATCTGCTTGGTCTGTGTATCTACCTATCCATACAGCTACTCATAGATCATCATTATTGCAGGACTATGTATTTAACAGTATTGTCCTCCATTGCCTTTAACGCTTGTTCTACTCTAGCTTAACTAGTCCCCTATAGATAGACTGTTAGGCAGTTCTGCTACCACAAATATGTAGGTACACCTTTGAATACATTTGAGGGAACTTCAAAAAGTTCATAGAAGAATGGAATTAAAAGATAATGGAATTTCTCCATGAACTTTTTGGAGTCCCCTTGTACACAACTGTAGTATTAATTTCTAGGAGTAGGATTAAGATTCAAAGAACATATATGTACATTTGAAATTTTTGGAGATTGCTAATTTTCCTTCCAAAAAGCCAACACCGATGTTGAATCCAGAGTATTCCCCCACCTCCACCCAAATTACTACACAACATAGAATACTAGCAATTGTTTTGTATCTTTACCAATACAAGTACAAAATTGTATCTCATTTGTTGTTTCAATTTACAGGGTTTTTTTTGTTTTTTTTTTTTAAACTATGAGAGATGTTGGGGATGTTTTTATATGTTTAAAACTCACTTGCATTGTCTTTACAAAATTCTTTTATTTAAAAGAGCCTATGTAGGGATTCTGGTAGCATAGTGGTTACGAATCAGGCTGCTAGTCTCACAGTCAGCAGTTCAAAACTACCAGCTGTTCCATGAGAGAAAGATGAGGCTTTCTGCTCTTGTAAAGATTTACAGCCTCAGAATCTTGTACAAGGTTGCTATGAGTCAGAACTGACTCCTTGGCATGTAACAACAATGTAGGGACTGAGTTTGTATTCACTAGACATTCTGCATACATGCTACACACAAATATGAAACTGTAGAAGCCAACCACATTGGGCGAGAAAGCAGTACCTCCCCAAATAAATATATTTACATCCTGCTCTTTCAAATCACCAACTGAGTTAAATCCTACACAAGCAGAATAAAAGTGGTACCCACAGTTGTTTCTACATCATACGATCTTTTAGAACTAGATGTGATACTGAAACCAAATCCACTCATTTACTTAAGACCACATCCAATCAGTAGAGTAGCTATAAGTCATTTTACAGAAAAACCACCATCATAACAACTAAGGAAGGAAAATACAAAGACCATCTTCAGTATTATTTTGAAATCTGTACCTTTGCAAGTAAAAGAGGCAATTTTTGTAAAGTTTGTTGTAGAAGTAGGTAGTAGAACTGGCTCAAACTTCAGAGACAGAGCATCTCTCTGTGAGAAATGATGTACATCCTATAACAAAAAAAGTACTCACATTACTTCTCTCAACTATGAGAATATTCATCCAGTATGAATTAAAATAACCAATCACCACAGAGCAACATGTGTACTAACTGTTCAGCAGATGTGTCTCTAACAGTAAGGAAGGACTACTGACAACCTGCATCCAAATGTAGGTTCAAACAAGGGAAAATGGGCTTAAATTAAAGCAAAAGAGAATGGATTTCATGTCTGTTTCTGGAAACTCTCTACTTTCTATAATTGTAATTTCAACTTTTACTTTATGTAAGCATTTACAATTACCTGTATCCATAGAAGGCTGCTTCCTGAATGTAATACGTACATATTCACTGTAGAATCATCTACCCAAAAGAATCAGAATAATCATATTAAAACAAAGAGCCATTTCAGTTTCATTTCTTAATAGAGTAATTAAAATATTACACTACACATATTCCTATGTTTTTAAAAAAAACAAATCAATTTTTAATACTAAAAGTTGCTGTTGTTAGGTGCTGTTGAGTCAGTTCTTTGTCATAGTGATCCAGTACAGGGTCTCTGAATAGTGGCTGGTGGGTTTAAACAGCTGATCTTATGGTTAGCAGTCCACTGCTTATCCTAATTAAAAGTAGGAGCTGGGTTTTTTGGTGGGCATTCTATACAAATCACACACAAAAAAATACTACAAAACGATTTGTATGCTAATAAATCTAAATGAAGAAAACCGACCATTAGAGAAATTCAATGTCTAGGGTTTACGATACTACATCTCTGTATGAAACTAACCACCTGGACAATTTCACGTAAAACATGTACCTGTTTCCTTCACTTCCTTGTTCAGACAACCTGAGATCTCAAAATATAGGTAGGTGTCCTTTTAACTCACAACAAAACTGCTCCCATAGGACAAGAACCTTTCCTACTCCACTGTCTACCTGGTCATTATGGAATCACCAAAAAACTGTAATAAACCTGAGGACAGGAAAGTTCTCCTGCTGACCCACGACTACAAGACATAAAGTTTGGAGAATACATGAAGTTCGGCTGACAACGTGCTGCGGCACTGAAGACTTACTTAATGCTAATCTCAAGGTCAGCTGTTCAAAGTCATCAGCCCTCTTGGAAACCCTATACAGGGCAACTATGAGTCAGAAACTACTCAATGATGTTTAACAACAACAATAGCAATGCAAAACTATAGGCCTTGGAGTGGTACCGTAGGATAAGCCGTGGACTGCTAACCACAAGGTCAGCAATTCAAATATATCAGTTGCTCTTGGAAACCCTATACAGGGTTGCTCTGTTAGAACCAACTAGATGGCACACAACAACAATGTAAAACTATACTCTGGGTACCAGTTCTTTCTCTGAATACAAATACATGTGTGTGGCACTGTGGGTTAATGTGCCAGACTGCAAAGCCTTTTGAACTGCAAGGTCGGTGGTTCAAGCTCACCAGCTGCTCCTTGGAAACCCTATACAGGGTCGCTATGGGTTGGAATTGACTCGACGGCACTTACCAGCAACATATACACTTACACATATCAGATGTCTTGATAACCAATAAGTAGTGACAAATCCTACATGAAGCTTCAAGAATCATGTAACATACATCTCCTACACAAGTTCTTAAAAAGTTAAAGTGACTAAGGTAGGTTTGTTTCTGGTAAGGCGGACAACACACATTTTCAAACATAAAATTTATCAAAATGATCGATAAAATTCACACTACTCTCAGTTGCCAAGCACCCAGGAAGAATCAGTCTCTCCTTGACTCTTAAAAATACAAAATGGCATGATCTGATCAACGAGAATGTCTACAACTCAGAACAACTAAGAGACTGCTGTTGTTGCATGTTCTCGAGTTGATTTTGACTCAGAGCAATCCTATTGGACAGAATAGAACTACCTAGGGGTTTCTAGGCTGTACTCTATGGGAGAGCTCATCTTCAGGTCTTTTCCACCACCGAGGAACTGGTGAGTTCGAACTGTCAACCTTTCAGTAACAGTAAGGCACTTAACACCACTGCACCACAAGGGCTTCTTTAACAATGAGATGAAAACTTTAAATACATATACTTTGTGAGTCTGTCATGCCCTTTTATAATTTAGGTGTTATTATATGCCACAGAGTCGATTCCAACTTATAATAATTCTAAACAACAAAGTTGAAGTGCCCCACAGGTTTCCAAGCTCTGATCTTTACTGGAGCAGATCCTAAGGAGCCACTGGTGAGGGTTCAACCTTTTGGTTGGCAGTAAAGTACTTAACCAATGCACCAATAGGGCTCCTTTATGTGTGTAGTACCTCCATAAGGCCAAGAGAAAAAGTAACCTGAAGTAAACTCAGAATAGTTTGTACTTGCCTCCCAAAACAATACAGCCTTATTAGGAGCTGCATATTAAGAACCAGTTATTCTAACAGTTTCTCAATAATGAAAGCCAAGCCCTCTGTCTTGGTTTGCTGTGGTACCACATACATGTAAACGCTATACAATGATGGTGCCGACTAGTAAAAATATAATGAAAAGTTCTTAAGATTCCACCTTACCTGACGTCTCAGATTTATCTGTTGCTACACAAACAATAGAGAGATGATCTAACAGATCTTGTGTGTTCTCTTCGAATTCTTTTGAGGTACTGTCCATTGTTACAATTATGCTCATTTGTAGCCGCAAAACATCATCAGATTCCAGGTAACAACTCTGAAATTGGAGGCAGGAAAAAAAATGAGGAAACCCCCCCCAAAAAATCTGAACTTGTGGCTTCAATATTTAGGGTGCATATAAGATATGTTACCAATGTTTAGCACATAAGGTAAGAAGCATGCATATTTCTGAGAACAAAATATTCTGTTTTGTTTTTTGTTGTTGTTGTGTGTTTACACATAAAGAGGCAGTAAGGCCAAGAAACAGTACTAAAATTATTTTACCTTTAATTGTTGACACACTTTATTATGTAAACTGCACTCCAGTTGCACCTGTAAGAGGCTAGCATTAGTGGTTTCTGCCTAAAAGGAGAAAAAAGGGTGGAAAAGACTTTAAAAAGAAGCAAAATGCTCATCTAGTACTATTAGTAAACAATCATTTGCTCAAAAACTACATGCATTCATTTATCTATTCAACAAATATACTGGAGTGTTTGGCTAAATGCTACACATTAGTCTATCTCTGGAAACATACAAGGACCAAAACAGAAGCTGAGCTTATATTCTAATGAAAATCACAAGCTTTTCCTTGGGGCGACATGAAAATTCCTGTTATGGCAATAAGCAGGTGTATGCTAAATATACACAGGAGCACGCTGTAGTTTCACATTTCTTACACTTGCTGAGTACTTTGTTTAAACGCAGGAGTCTTTTATATTAAAGTAGGTGATGTACCCAAGAATGGAGTTCTGGTGTAGCACTGTGGGTTAATGAGCTGGACCGCAAGGTCGGTTTGAACCGCAAGGTCAGCAGTTTGAGCTCACCAGCTATGCCTCGGAAACCCTACGCAGAGTCGCTATGAGTCAGCACTTACTCGACAACACTTAACAACAACAAAAACAACAACCCAAGAATAGCCAAGTATCTGTTCTCATGTGTACTTTTTATTGGGAAGATAACCTGAAAGGCTGCTACCCCAAGTCAGATAAAACCTCAAGATATCCAAAACTGAACCAGCTATCATTTAAAATATCTGGAAGAGTTACGAATGTAAGAGACAGAAGTACATGAAAAAGAATGCAGGATTTCATCAAGTTCAGAGATCTTAACAGTCCCATAGGGCAATACAGACATTTCTTAAAGTGATATGCCATTGGTCAGGAGGCCGTAGGCTGTATGCTGTAGATGTATCTGTGAACACACAGAAAATCATAGAGTGTATTAAGGTAAAGAATTTGGACTAATCACTGAGATCAAACAATGTGTAGGATTTACTGAATGCAAAATGAATGGTGTACACTATAAACCTCCATTCAAATCACAACAAAAATTTAAAAACTTAATTTTAACATATAGAAAAAAAATGACAAAATAAAAATGTTTCAAACAATATCCTGAAAGAATATATAACATGTAGACCCAATTCTCAAGAGATACTTTAGGAAGTTCTTTGTTATTGTTGTAAAATGCCGTTCAGTCATTTCCGACCCATAGCACCATTGTATAGACTTTCCAAAGAGCAACTGGTAAGCTTGAATCACCAACCTTACAGTTCAAATGGCTTTGTGGTCTGATGCATTAATCTACAGTGCCATACCAAGACTCCTTAGGCTGATGGAAAATGATCTCAGATGAAATAATAGAACTCCTGGTGTGGCGCTGTAGGATAAGCACTGGACTGCTAATTGCAAGGTCTGTGGTTCAAATCTACCTGCATCTCCTCAGAGATCCTATATAGTGCATCAGAACCAATCATTGGCACTTAAAACAATATATTAAGGCTCATGATTCTAGCAAATTAAGCAAATATAGATTATTTTAAACAAAAAAATAAAATAAAATCTTGTGTAGCGTTTAAAAAAAAAAAGAAATTGATCCCTGTGTGGTTTCCTCTTTCTCCAAACTTGATTTCACTGGCATAATGATTATTAAAAGGCAATTCTGCCAGACAGTCACACTCCTAAAACATCAGGAAATCTCTGCACAGAAAGCAAGCAGTCCCAAAGCTGGGGCTGACATAACTGTAGTAAGCATTCATTAACTCCAGGAAGAATCAGTGTTAAGTAGAATCACCACATTTACATTTAATGTGTTAGATTTAAAAGACTTATCGAAGCACAGTATATAAAATTACTTTTAACTACTTTGTCATTCGGGCAATTAAAATACAGGAAAAGGAAAGAGCAAAATAGTGTGTGTTTTTAAATGCTGTTAGAATGTTTTAGGAGTTTAATTAGCTAAGCTTATAAATAAAACCAAACACTAACCAAAGGCAAATTTATTGAAAAAGCAATTGCTACTTGTTCCAAAAGTTATTACACCATGTTGTTGTTTAAGTGCCATTGAGTCGGTTCCAACTCACAGCAACCCTGTATATGGTATATGGTTTTTGAGGAGAGGCTGGTGAGTTTGAACCGCTGGCCTTTAGGTTCAAACCAATCCCATTCCTAGGTTCATAGTCAAAAAAAACTGAAAGCAGACTAAATATTGCTATTTATTTTGTTGTTGAGAAATAAATACTATTTTTTATATGAGCTGTTTTATTTATATAAAAACATCAAACCAAACCAACCAAATGAAACCGCTTTATGTTGAGTGAAATCTGACTCAACAATTCTATAGGACAGAGTATGACAGCCTGGCAGAGTTTCCAAAGCTATAAATCTCTAAGGACACAGACTGCAGACTGCTGCATCTTTCTTTCACAGACGAGCTGATGGGTTTAAACCACTGATCTTTCAGGTAGTAGCTGAGAGTTTAACTATTGTGGCTCCTAGGTACAGCAAAACATATATCAATTCACAACTGTTGCCATGCTTGAGCCCACTGATGCTGCCACTTTGCCAATCCATCTCGCTGGGGGTCTTCCTCTTTTTCTCTGACCCTCCACCTTACCACACATATCCTTCTCCAACGACTGGCTGCACTTCTTCCAACACAGATCCGTTAGTTCTTTTGGCAGCCCATGGTACTTTCAATATTCTTCTCTAACACCATAACTCAAAAGCATCAATTCTTCTATGGTCTTCCTTATTCACTGTCCAACTTTCGCATGCATATAAGGTCATTGAAAATACCATAGCTTGGGTTAGGTGTACCTTAGTCCTCAAGCTGACATCTCTGCTCTTCAACACTTTAAGATGTGCCTAATGCAAAACATGTCATTTGATTTCTTGACTGCTGCTTCCATGAGTGTTGATAGTTGATGAAAGAAAAATGAAGTATGTGACAACTTCAATATTTTCTCCATTGGTAAGAATGTTATTATTGGTACAGTGGTGAGGATTTTTGTTTTCTTTACACTGAAAGGCAATCCATACCGAAGGCTGTGCTCTTTGATCTTCATCTATCTAGTTCTTCTTGACTGTAATTTACAAAACTCTTGGGAGTCCTTGGGTGGGGCACACAGTCACATGTTTCACTACTAACCAAAAGTCTGACGGTTCAAATCCATCCAGATATGCCTGAGAAGAAAGATCTGGTAATCTACTTCTGGAAAAAACAAGCCACTGAAATCCCTATGGAGCACAGTTCTTCGAAGATATACATGAGGGTGGCCATAAGTGAAAATCAGCTTGACAGCAACTGATGGTGGTGGTAGCTACATAGTTGAGAAATCTATCTAGTCTCTCTCTTTGTTTATGCTCCAACCTCACTGCTCTTTTAAGCTCTGTTCTACCTTGTTGTTAAGTACCATCAAGTCGGTTCCGATTCACAGCAACTTGGTATAGAGTTTCCTAGGAGCAGCTAGTAAGTTTGAACTGCCGACCTTGTGATTCAAACCAGTGTCTATCCTACCTCTTAGAACCTATGAATTGCTGATTCTTTGCCTTGGAGTCTTTCCCCAGCTACACCACCCACTTCCACCTAGCTAAACCCAATTCATCCTTCATGTTTACATTAAATATCCCTCTTAAGGAGGTCTTCTCTCACCCCACAAATGGGAAAATGCCCAATTATGCACACAGCACCCAGGACCTGACATTCTTTAACATTCCTCATCATACCTAACAAATCATCCCAGGTCTGTCCTTGGCAGTACACAATACGCTTGTCTTGCTTATTGTAATCTCTACTTTTATTACAATGTCTATCACTTAATCAAAAAAGAAGCCAAACCTACTTCCATAGAGTCAATTTCAACTTATAGGGCCTCTATATAGAGTTTCTGAGACTGCAAATCTTTATGATAGCACACAGTCTCTTCATTCTCCTAGGAGATGGTAAATTTCAACCGCCTATCTAGAGGCTAGTAGCCCAACCGCCTAACCCACAGAACCCTTTCTAGGTGCTCAAAATGTAGAGTTGACTATAGAGTTGAATGAACAGAAGTGTATACACAGCCACATAGGTTATAAAAATAGGCAAGCTTGGAAAAGGCCAGGATAATTAAAATAGTATGTATACAATAAAGGAATATATCAAAATCTACTTCGGACATACTGACAGGAGGGACCAGTCGCTGGAGAAGGATATCACGTTTGGTAAGGTGGAGGGTCAGAGAAAAAGAGAAAGACCCCCAGCGAGATGGATTGGCCAAGTGGCAGCATCAATGGGCACAAGCGTGGCAACAATAGTGAGGTTGGCCCAGGATCGGGCAGTGTTTCATTCTGCTGTGCATAAGGTTGCTATGAGTTGGTACCGACTCGATGGCACCTAACAACAACAATGTTCTGTGTATGCTTCTGATCTGAAACCTTCCAGAGCTTAATGGAAAAGCCTGTTTCAACACACTTTCAAAGTATACATTTAATTGTTGTTTTTATTAAAAAATCTATGTAACAATTTAGCTATAGGTCTTAACCTGAAGAGATAATTTACATCCCTAAATTATTTCCTTAAATACCAAGTATATGTTAAAAGTTCAAAATTACAATTTTGATCATGACTAAAACTCTTAGTTGCACAATGGTGTGATTTTTTAAGCCTAAAATTTGTTATCGTTGATAAATTTCTAGATAGATAAAAACACAATCACCATTTTAATAGAATTCTTCTATTAGTTAGAAGCATAACAACAAAAAACCCACTACACTGCTTCATTTGCTACAAAACATATTTCAGAACCCCACAAGGGGGAGTTCTAGCACCTCCAAACTTCTAAATTGCTCATTTAGATAAATGAATTTTTCTAAATGAGAAACTGAAAAGTTCATGTCTTTCTCTTATCTCAAAAGAACAGTATTATTGCAATCTTGGTTTAGAAATCCCCATTACCAGAGTTGATTCTATTCACAGCTACCTATCTAGGGTACTGGAGGCTATAAAGAAGTTTAACTAAATCTGAATAATATGGGAAAACCCACACTGGATTACCAATTCCTCAGGAAGATCTCCAGCTGAGAGTGTCTGACAATAAGACC